TTCACATGATTAGTTGAGTGTGAAATTTTCGCGGCAATCCTGGAGAAGATAAATTACTTCATATTTCGATCAATGTATTTAGATACAAAATATTTCTTACTAAATATGCCAATTTTTCTTTTGAAATTACATCAAAATTAGTTGTTTATCTATTTGTTTATTTTTTTTGTGAATAACTTAAGTTTTAAACATATAACAACCAATATGTATCATTGTTATTTCCACACTGGCACCCCTGAAACGACATCTGTTGGTTTAATTATTTGTCCGATGAGAGCTTGAGACAATAGTTCGTGTTCCTCCTGTATATGTTGTGCTTTATTTCCTGTAGCAGGAGATGCTGATGGTGGACGAGTAACCGGCTCCGCAGCTTTACCTAGAACAATTTTTTACTTTAATTAACGAATAAATCTTGATACAATAACGAAAACCACATTATGTGCAGGAATTATATAGTATACCTTTATGGCGTTCAGAGTGGTTCAAGAGTGTTCGTATTCTGGGAACTATGTAAGTCCATGCACCTGAATTTAGAGGTTCTTCTTGCACCCACACAAGTTTAGCATTTGGATATTTGTCGACGTGCTGTGATAGCAAATCATATGGAAACGGGCTCAATTGTTCAATCCTGGAAATAGCAATATGATTCATATTGTTTTGTTCACGAGCTCTCAGAAGAGCATAATAAACTTGGCCAGTGCATAAAATGTGACGCGTAATTTTTTCGGGCGCAACCAATGTTTCAGGATGTGGTTCTGGTATATATCTAGCAAAGTATGTGTCACCGACCATTTCATTAAGAGTAGACCGAGCCATGGGATGTCGAAGAAGACTTTTAGACGTGAAAACAATGAGCTACATGAAGCATGACACAATGTACATCAAAAATTAGCAATTTGATGAATGTTGATTCAATTTAAATATATAAAATACTTACTGGTTTTCTAAAGTCTCTATGAATTTGCCTTCTCAATACATGGAAATAGTTTGCCGGTGTTGTGCAATATACTACTTGCATATTGCAATCTTGATGTTGACGTGACATTTTATCTGGAGGTGGGTAAATATAGGGGTGATCATCACAAAGTTGAAGGAAACGCTCAATACGTCCACTAGAATGTTCAGGGCCTTGACCATCGTAACCATGGGGCAATAAGACTACTAAGCCGGTGCGTTGAAGCCATTTCTTTTCACCAGATGAAATGAATTGATCGATTATACACTGCGCATTGTTGACAAAATCACCAAATTGAGCTTCCCATAAAATGAGGGAATTAGGATCAACTAAAGAATAACCTAGTTCAAAACCTAGAGTGCCAAATTCAGAAAGCGAAGAGTTACACACAACATATCGGGCCTGCCCAGGTCGAAGGTCATTCAAAGGCACGTATTGTGACTCATTCTCCTGGTCATGAAGAACAGCGTGACGTTGTGAAAAAGTACCACGCTCAACATCTTGACCAGACAACCGAACATGTTTTCCTTCAAGAAGTAAGGAGCCAAATGCAAGACTCTCAGCGGTGGACCAATCAATATTTTCACCATCTTCTATTGATTTAGCTCGAGCTTTAAGCATTCTAACAAGACCCGAGTGCACATGGAAATTATTTGGATAGGAACTAATGACTTGTCCAATATGTTTAAGAGATTCAAGGGTAGATCCAGTTGGATAGATAGGTGTAATTTCTTCTGCAATTTCTTTAGGAGACTTAAATCCTTTGTTGCAAAGATATATTAGATGCAATCCATTAATAAGTAAAATGATTATTTATTAGTAATCTTACCATCCCAAGAACTAGATAGCCATTCCCGACTCGTAGGTATGTAATCCTTGCTTTTTGTATAACTTTCTTCTAACATACCCCACACCCATTTTTTATGCTTTTGAATATCTTCCATTGAAAATGTGCGTTCCGCTGTAAGTCTTTGTACATACTTATCAAGTATGGGAGTTTGTTTAGCGATCTGTTTATACATCCTTGGTTGAGTAAAACTAGGTTGATCAACTTCGTTATGACCATATTTACGGTAGCAAACAATATCAACAACGAAATCCTTTTTGAAGGTTTGCCTCCATTCAGCGGCTAGTTGGCACACAAAATTCACTGCTTCAGCATCATCACCATTAACATGGAAAATAGGAGCATTAACAACTTTAGCGATGTCGGAGCAATAAGAAGTTGAACGTGCAAATCGAGGATCCGTAGTGAAACCTATTTGATTATTTATAATTATATGGATAGTACCACCTGTCGTGTAATTTGGTAAATCATGGAAACCAATTGTTTCATACACAACTCCTTGTGCAGCAAAAGAAGCATCTCCATGTAATAATAAAGCCATAGAATGATGACGATCTTTTTCATCATTCATATAATATTGAAGGGCACGAATTTTACCGAGTACAACTGGATTGACAGCTTCTAAATGAGATGGGTTTGCTGCTAGAGAAAGATGTACGCGCTTTCCGGAAGGAGTTGGTCGGACATAATTCATTCCTAAATGGTATTTGACATCACCAGAACCTTCATCTGAAGGTTCAACAGAACCTCCGAACTCACAAAAAATGGATTCATTAGGTTTGCGAACCACATTACTGAGTACATTGAGACGACCGCGATGTGCCATACCAAGCACGATTGATTCTATACCAAGGTCAACAGACCTATCAATCTGTAAATAAAAGATGGTTAAGTAATACGATTAACAAGTAATTATATTAAGTAACCTTTGAAGATTTATTTACCAAAGCTTTCATGCCGGGAATCAAACTTTCACAACCTTCCAAGCCAAATCTTTTCTCAGTCGGATATTTAGTGGAAACAAACCTTTCAAACGAATCAGACCATATTAACCGATCTAAAATCATACGCTTTTCTTCACCTGAGTAATCGTATG